CAGGCTGAGCTCCATCACAGGGCTTTCAGGCTGAGCACCATCACAGGGCTCCCAGGCTGAGCTCCATCACAGGGCTTTCAGGCTGAATCCACCACATGGCCGTCATGGTCAGCTCCATCACAGGGCTCCCAGGCTGAGCTCCATCACAGGGCTTTCAGGCTGACTCTACCACATCGCTGTCATGGTCAGCTCCATCACAGGGCTCCCAGGCTGAACTCCATCACAATGATCCCAGGCTGAGCTCCATCACAGGGCTTTCAGGCTGAATCCACCACATGGCTGTCATGGTCAGCTCCATCACAGGACTCCCAGGCTGACTCTACCACATCGCTGTCATGGTCAGCTCCATCACAGGGCTCCCAGGCTGAGCTCCATCACAATGCTCCCAGGCTGAGCTCCATAATAGGGCTCATAGGCTGAGCTCCATCACAGTGCTCCCAGGCTGAGCTCCATCACAGTTCTCCCAGGCTGAGCTCCATCACAGAGCTCCCAGGCTGAGCTCCATCACAGCTCTCCCGGGCTGCGCTCCATCACAGTTCTCCCAGGCTGAGCTCCATCACAGTGCTCCCAGGCTGAGCTCCATCACAGGGCTCCCAGGCTGAGCTCCATCACAGTTCTCCCAGGCTGAGCTCCATAATAGGGCTCCCAGGCTGAGCTCCATCACAATGCTCCCAGGCTGAGCTCCATCACAGTGCTCTGAGGCCGAGCTCTACCACGTGCTCTCAGGCTGAGCTCCATAATAGGAGTCCCAGGCTGAGCTCCACCACAGGACTGTCAGTGATGAATGTCATTGCCTACAGCAATGTAGTAATGGAGTGAACAAAGCACAGAAAATGCACCTATGATGGCAAGGAAAAAGGCAGCTCAAAATAGTATGAAAGAATTCTATAATAAGGACATTCACAGTGTAATCTTGGGCCAGTTACTGTACCTAGCCTGTAGAGACGAAGTGCGTCCAGTAACTGCGTTCCCTGGAGCTGTGTCCTCAGTGTTGGGATGTCAAATGCGTCGAGTGGATGTTCTTTGCTGTTCTGTGCCTCTGCTACAGCTTCAGGTCTTTGACTAGCAGGCATTTTCCCTTCTGTATCATTCTCCTCTCGTCTTGCTACAAAGCAGTGGACAAAGTGTGCTTCAGAACGCTTCGTAAGGTTTGTAAGAACATCCTAAGATTTTAAAGAAAAGAGATTGAGATTTTATTTGAATTTAGTTGAGAAGAAGTTATTTGGGATACTGTATCATATTATTGGCTTTTGACTGCACTGGAGATTCAGGTACAACGCAAAAAGGACAATGGTAATGTCACCAAAAGTTCTCATGCAATATCTAAACATTCCAGCATTTGACTTTAACCAGACACAATATCATCTCTTCAATTTCCTACTTCCATTGGAAATTGCTGCATAAGTTCTCTTCCAGAAATGAAGATCAAGTGACACACAATATCCACTTCAACTCAGTTAACAATTTTTTTTATCAACATGATTTGAAATCTTTTACATTCTGAAATACAACCTAGCTTCTAATTTTAACTGAGTTTGACCTGGCTATGTGATAAGTGACTGCTCTCAGGCAAATGGTCAGGCCATAAAAGATTCTTAGACACAATTTTCACCCAATTTTACAGGGATTTTAATTCTAACCCGTGGAGACCAAATTTCCTGGGACTCAAAAATCCCAGCAAATAAAAGGAGGTGAAGCAGATCAAGGAGGTCAGAGCTTTTACAGCACGGTTGTGGGCCAAGAGGAATCATAGAATCCCTACAGTGTGGAAACAGGCCCTTCGGCCCAACAAGTCCACACTGACCCTCACGGCATCCCACCCAGACCTATTCCCCTATAACCCACCTAATTTACACATCCTGAACACTATGGGCAATTTAGCATGGCCAATCCACCTAGCCTGCACATCTTTGGACTGTGGGAGGAAACCAGAGCACCCAGACAAAACCCACGCAAACACGGGGAGAATGTGCAAACTCCACACAGACAGTTACCCAAGGGTGGAATTGAACCCAGGTCCCTGGCACTGTGAGGCAGCAGTGCTAACCACTGTGCCACCGTGCCGCCCCTTCATTTATTGCCCATTCTGAATTGGCCTTGAAAAGGTAATGGTGTGCTGCCATCTTGAATTGATGCAAACATTGGCGTCTAGGGACATGTTGGGTGCTGTCAGAAAGGGAGTTCCAGGGCTTTGATCCAATGACAATGATGGAATGGCAATAAACATGCAAATCTGGATGGCGTATAGCTTGAAGGGGAATTTGTAGGTGGTGGTGTCCCCATGCCTCCGCCACTGTTGTCCTTATAAATGGTCGAGGTTACAGGTTTGGAAAGTGCTGTTTGAGGACTCTTGGTGAGTCGTTGCATTGTAGCATTGCATCAGTGGTAAAGGGAGTGGATGTTGTAGATGGTGGACGGGGTGTCAAATAAGTGGGATGGTATCAAGCTTCTTGAGTGTTGTTGGAGCTGCACCCATTCAGGCAAATGGGGAGTATTCCATCACACTCCTGACTTTTGTCTTGTTGATGGCAGATGAAGATGCAGGAAGCAGTGGTGAATTGCTTGCTACAGAATTCCTAGCTTTTGACCTGCTCTTGCAGCCATAGTATTTTTATAGCTGTTACAGTTCAGTTTCTGATCAATGGTAAGCCTCCAGGATTTTGATGGCAATGTCATTGACTGTCAAGGGATGATGGTTGGTTTCTCTGTTGTTGGAGATGGTCATTGCCTGGCACTTCTGTGGAGCGAGTGTTTCTTGCCACTTACCAACAAAAGCCTAGATATGGTCCAGGTCTTGCTGCAAACGAACATGAAATGATTCAGTATTTGAAGAGTCACAAATGGCACTGAACATTGTGCAATCATCAGCAAACATCTCCAGTTCTGACTTTATGACGGAGGGAAGGTCATTGATGGAGCAGCTGATGTTGTTGGGCCTAGGACAACTACTCCTGAAGAGATATCCGGGAGCTGAGATAACTGACCTCCAACAACCATAGCCATCTTCCTACATGCTCAGTATGATTCCAACTAGTGGAGAACTTTAAACTATTTTCCATTAGCAACATTACATCTCCTTGATGCCTTACTCAATTGAATGGTTCCTTAATATCAGGGCAGGCACTCTCACTTTAACTCTGGATTTCAACTCTTTTATCCATGTTTAGATCAAAGCTGTACTGAGATCAGGAGCTGTGTTGCCCTGGCTGAACCTAAATTCAGTTATTCCTTTGTAAGTGCTGCTTAACAGATCTGACAATGACCCTTTCCATCATTGATGATTGAGAGTGGACTGATAGGGGTGTTAATTGGCTGGGTTGGATTTGGCTTTTGTGCACAGGAAATAACTGGACAATTTTGCACATTATTGGGTAAACGCCAGTCCCCTGTAACACAAGTGTGCTTGATTGGCCTCCAATGGGTATTTCAAAGGTGCCTACTGCAGGTTTAACTTATTGGACTATTCCAGACACCCTGTGGTAGGCATGGAGCAGTTCACTATGTCGTTGCTTCTCATTCCCAGAGATCCTCCTGACTCAATAAAGAGGTCTGCTCATGTGTCAGATAGTATCCCTGCCTCTGAACCAGAGGTCCAAAGTTCAAAACTACCCTAGAACATCGTAGTCAAAAGATGTGTATTCATAACATGGGCAAAATCTCAACTCACAAATCCTTCCAATAAATGCTGGGTACTAATAATGGGACCACGTCAGACATGTGATGGAAAAAAACACTAGAGTTTCTATATGACCTAAAGTTCCAGGTTACAACATGCTTGGAAAACATTTGCCACAGCAATGCAGAACTCCCCATGTGAATTATACTTCCACCATCCCATTGTTCTGGGTCAGAACCCTGGAAATTCAACCCGCTGTTTCTCGTTATGTTGTGCCAGGTATGCAACTCTTTGCCACCATTGTAAGCTGGACTGTACCCAAAATGGCCATTAATATAGCAGTTATCTTGAAACACAGAAAACAGGAGCAGAATTAGGCCATTCAGCCCTTCGAGCCTGCTCCACCATTCATTATGATCATGGCTCATCATCCAACTCCACACTCTGTACTTGCTTTTCCCCCCATACCCTTTGATCACCTTAGGCCTAAAGCCTAATCAAACTCTTTCTTGAAAACAAATTGCAACCAAAAGAAATAAAAGGTAAAGTATGAAGTGAAAGGAAGGCTAAAATATTAAGACTAAATGGGTAATTTTGATTTAGAGTAATTTTGCAAAGCTGCAAATTGCCCATTTTACATCTCTCCTGAATTTTCCTTCTAGTACTTTCCATCTTAAAAGTAGTCCCAGCAGCCTGTCCAGAACTCAGTTCTGGGATTGAATTCGATGGGCTTCCATCAGTTTAATTGTGTTAAACACAAATGAATGGAGCCCATTGCATCTATCCTTGGTATAAATATAACCCCATCCTGAGAGCTCAATCTGTTAACACTTACCACTTGTAGCTTGATTCGTGCACATACAGAACTTCTCTTCACAGCTGCAAAGCTAGTGCTGAATGTCTTCCGGACACAACCTATCCTTTGCAAAGCCTGCTGGGAAGTGCCTTCCAAACCAGACACTGACCGACATATCATCGGGATTTTAGATCGTGAAGAGAAAAGTCGCTTGAGGAATTCACTAGTTGAAGGAAACAATGGATGGATTAGTTGTGTTTCATTGTCATTGCTATGTTCAACAGTGATGCTCTGAAGACTGAAGTTCAAGATTTAACTCCTTGCTGTCTGACACTTTCACATGATCCACCTACTCTTGCCACTTGTCAATCTCATTGTTATTTGGGTATAAGCTATACCAGATCAAGATAAACCAGATGCAGGAGCACATTACCACAGATGCTGGAAGCTGTGCTGAAAACAACAAATGTTAGAGATCAGAGATAAAGGGTCTTCTAGACTCAAAACTTAATCTCTCTCCATGGATGCTGTCTGACTCAAGATAAACCAGAAAGAGGTAAAGTTGTCGGTATTTCCAAATGAAATTGCATTGAACCAACCCTAATGGTTGATTATAGAGTGCCATTGGCTGAACCCATGAAAATGCACTTCAGTGATCACATTTTTTGACAGTGGTCTTCTGGACCACAATGCTGCATGTATGCTGTAATTCTAGAAAATGAGTTCTTGACTCTCAACAGAAACCCTATGGCCACTTACACTTGAGTTCTAAGTAAATTGTCCAACTTCACCCCAGGTTATCTGCTGCTGAAACTCTCATCCATGCCTTTATTACCTCTAGACTTCACTCTCACAAGCCAGTCCTGGCTGCACAATCTTCCACATTCCACCCTCTGCAAGTTTGAAGTGATTCAAAACTCTGCTGAATTAATTCACATTGAGTCCCTTTTACCACCTGCCCCTATGCTTACTAATGTAAATTGGACACTGGTCAAGCAATATCAATCTTAAAATTCTCATCCTTGTTTTCAAATTCACATGACCCAGACCCCTCATCTCCTCCAACTCCACAACGCTTCAACATATCAATTGTCCTTTAATTCTAGTCTCTTAGGCATCTCTGATTTATACCCCCCATTGTAGCTATGCCTTCAGTTGCCAAGGCTGTGAGCTCTTGAATACCATCTCACTGTACCTCTTCATCTTGCTACCTCGTTTTCCTCTTTTAAGAAACTTCTATGGCTACTTCAGCTGGCCAAGCTTTTGGTCATCTGACCTAATATCTCCATGTCATATTTGATTTTATAAGTTAGGAAGAGTTTTATGATAATTTAAAATGTTACAGATGCAGTTAAATTATGGCTAAGTAGTGGGTAAATATCTGGTATAATGTGGGAAAATGTGAAACTATTTATATTGGTGGGAAGAATAAAAGACGTATATTATCTATATGGCAAGAGATTGCCCTGAAATGCACAGGGGCCTGGGTTTCCTGGTGCATGAATTGCAAAAGGTCTACAAGGCAGTACAGCAAAACTCATAGAATCTTAGTAGCTCTTCCAAGGGGAATGGAATACAAAATTAGAAGGCTATGCTTCAGCTGTAAAGGACATTTGTGAGGCCATATCTGAGGTACTATGTACAGCACTGGTCTCTTTATTTAAGGAACAATGTAAATGCTTCTGAAGGAGTTCAAATGTTAACTAGACTAATACTTGGAACTGATGGGATGTCTTATGAGAAAAGATTGAAACATGTACGATCCTGGGGTCTTGACAGGGTGCATGTGGAAAGGATGTTTCTTCTTACGAAGGGGTCACTGTTCAAAATGAGGGTTTGCCCAATTAATAGCGATAAGGAGAATTTTTTTCTCAAAGACGGTCCTGGGTCTTTGAAACACACTTCCTCAAAAGGTGTTAGAAGTAGAGGCTTTGAAAATTTTAAGGCAGAAGTAGATAGATTCTTCATAAATTATGGACTGAAAGGTTATTGGGGAGAATTTAGAACAATCTACATGTACCTGACTTACTTAAGGGAGAAAAAAAATTGGGAAAGGGGAATGAGGGAAAAGAGAGAGGGACTGATGGAATGATCCTCGATAGAGCCAGCATAGACTGAAAGGGTCAATTCATTTCCTTCTGTCCTGAGCTATTCTTTTATTCTATGATACTTCCCTTTTTTGTTGATACTGCTGCCACATAATTGAAGATAACTTAAGGCACTAGCAGAGACCAGATGTATGGTGAATGAGTGAAACTGTCCCCATTTTAGGATAAGGAAAAAGGTAGCCAGTCCACAGGAACAAAATGAACTGCCAAAAATATCAAACTCATGAAATTATAACAAGATTCTGCATAAAGCATATACAAAAATTGGCGGCATAGCTCCACTCCATCCCTGAAAACACCAATCAGATATAGCTCCATGTGGACTGTAAATTGAGGATTCCTTCAATTCATCCTTATTATAGCATGAAGCTTGTTCATGAGAAGCTATGTGAAGATGGACCACAGGAGCCTGACTCTTAACTATCATCACCTAGTGTTGGTTCAACTTGACCAGCCCCTCAGATTAGCTTGGTTGATCATTCCCCTCTCTTAACCCATTGACACTGAAGCCAATTGCCACACTGTCACTCTGGCTAAGATCAGGTAACGCAACAAAGGCCAGAACTCTTACCTGCAAGACTCAATTGGTGATGCAGTTTGCAGTTTTCTATATTTTAGCCAACATAACATATACCACAGAGAATCGGGCTCTTGTTGAGTCAGATATCTTGAAGTTTATTTACAACAATACCAATTCACAAAGGTTACAATATCATAGACCTACACACATGATCTGAGTTCTATGATTACTGACGTTTCAATACATTGGATAACTGACTGATTGAAGACATTGCACTGGCCTCATTGCACAGTGAGAATGACGAAAGTTGAAGCAGATAATCAGGAAAGCTAATGGATTTTTGGCCCTTGTTTCAAGGCATTTAGCGTTTGAGAGTAGGGAAGTCTTACTGCAAATGTACATGGTGCTGGTGAGAACTGGAGGACTCTGAGCAGTTTTGGTCCCCTTCTTTAAGGAAAGATATTGCTTCATTGGAAGCAGTTCAGAGAAGTTTCACGAGGATGATCTCTGAAATGGAATGATTGTCCTATAGCTAAGGCTAAACAGGTTGGGCTAAACTCTCCGGAATTCAGAAGAATGAGAGGTGATCTCATTGAAACATGTAGGATTCTTAAAGGACCTGACAGGGTAAATGCTGAGAGAATGTTTCCCTTTGTGGGAGAGTCTAGGATCAGAAAATATAGTCTCAGAATAAAGGGGCCGCAATTTAATACTGAGATGAAGAGGAATTTCTTCTCTTAGAGGGCAGCGAGTCTTTGGAACTTCTTGCCACAGACAGCTGTGGGAGCAGGCTCCTTGTGTATATTTAAGGTGGAGATAGATAGATTCTTGATCAGTCGGGGTTAAGGAGAAAAGTCGGGAAAGTGGATGCAAGGAGTTTTGGATCAGCCATGATCTTATTGAATGGTGAAGCAGGCTGGAAGGGCTGAATGGCCTACTCCTGTTCCTATTTCTTATGGCCTTGTGATTACATATTTTGTTGTTGTATAACTGCCTTAAAGTTCTAGAATCCTTGCCTTGATACAACGTTCGATTCATGTTTTAGTTTCTGGATCTTAGCTGGTCATCTTGTCTATGGGCTAGAACACTTACAGTCTGGATTCCTGCAGTAGCTGGCTGGCGTTCTCCAATGAGAGGTTTTGCTTGGCTTTGTTGATCCAGCCTGTCAGGTCATACCTCACAGGATCTGTACCGAGCTGGTGTGCAATCACAAACTGCTGTTCCTGCTCGCACCTCCTCACTGGCTGGTTCTCTGTGAGCACAAAGGCATCAATGAGACACGGGCAGGCTTGAGCGAATTCATGTTAAATATTCAGATCTCAAGAAGCAGAATCAGATTAAACTTTACCACAGAAAATGCAGATGAAGGAAAACATGAGGGTGAAGGGATGGGTGTGGCCAGGCAAGAAGAAGGTCCTTCCTGCTCCAAAAACTCTACCAATGAATATTTTAATATGGCTTCTTAAATAATTAATGATCAAGGACTTGCCCAAACCGTTTTCTTTTTCATAGAATACTCATAGAATCCCTACAGTGTGGAAATAGGCCCTTTGGCCCAACAATCATAGAATCCCTACAGTGTGGAAATAGGTCCTTTGGCCCAACAAGTCCACACCAACCCTCACGGCATCCCACCCAGATCCATCCCCCTATAACCCACACATCCCTGAACACTGCGGGAAAGTTAGAATGGCCAATCCACCTAGCCTGCACATCTTTGGACTGTGGGAGGAAACCAGGGCACCCGGAGGAAACCCAGGCAGACACGGGGAGAATGTGCAAACTCCACACAGACAGTCACCCGAGGGTAGAATCGAACCCAGGTCCCTGGTACTGTGAGGCAGCAGTGTTAACCACTGAGCCACTGTGCCACCCTGTTCTTTGCTGAGATGTGGGCATCACTGCCAAGATATGCACTTGCCGCCCATCCTTAAGTGCCCTTGAGCTGAGAGGCTCACTCAGCGATTGCAGAGGACAGTGAAAAGTCAACAACACTGTTGTGGGTCTGGAGTCACACATAGACCAGACCAGGTAAGGATGGCAGATTTCCTTCCCCAGTGAGCCAGATGGGTTTTTACAACAGTCAACAATCAATGATAGCCCCATGACCACCATCACTGAGATTTGCTTTCTTTTCCAGATTTCATTAGTGGATTTAAATTCATCAAATGCTGTAATTGTACCCATATGCCCAAAGTGTTAAATCAGGACTCTGGATCACTAATCCAATGAAGTTACTACTGCCCCTCCAGTCCTCCCTTAATCCCATTTGCCAATCCTGATTTTGCTCCTCATACATGATTTAAGTACAGCTTTTTTTTTATTTTCTTGTTTGCAGTCTGTGTGTCAATCTGATTTATTGAAGAGTCTCATTCCTCTTTGTCTTCTTCACAGACATTGTGGGTGGTAAATGACTAAATGCATGAAAATCGCCACTCAGAAGCCCTGGCAAAAGTCTAGCAAAAAAGATAAAACTCCTTTCTCACCTCTTACAAAGAGAGATGTGGATCGGTTCGGACTATATTCACTAGACTTTAAAAGAATGAGGGGTGATTTCATAGAAACCTACCAAATTCGAACAGAACTAGACAGGTTAACACAGGAATGATGTTCCCAAGGACTGGGAAATCCAGAACCAGCGTCACAGGGGTTAGGAATATGGATGGTCATTTAGGACAGAGATGAGCAGAAATTGCTTCATCAAGTATGTTGAACCTGTAGAATTGTCTGTCATAAAGACCAGTTGAGGCCAAAATATTGAATGCTTTCAAGAAGGAGTTACATATAGTTCTTATGGCCTCATAGGATGAGGGGAGAAAGCAGGAATAGGGTCTTGGTTAATCAGCCAAGATTATATTGAATGGTGGAGCAAGCTTGATTAGCCAAATAGCCCACTCCTCCCACTTATTTCCTTTGTTTCTATGTAACCTTTCTGAGGATTTTATATCTTCATTGAATTATATTGCCTATAACTGTCCATAATGCCCTAGTTTTGGCTTAAACAATAATATAGAGAGGTCTAACATGATGCTTTCATATTCCTTTCTTCAACTCATAAACTCAAGCAAATCATCTGATCAATTTGTCTTGTCACATTTAAGGATCTATCAATATGAATGCCATGGTTCTGGGGCCTCTCTCCTGTTTTATTTTTGCATAGTTTAATGCTCCACTATAAATTTGTGCTCACAACAGGTTGGAAAAAGAGAAGACAAAGTCAAGAAATGTCTTCAGGTTTAGATTTCAAAGTAATGCTCTTTATTATACATTAATACTAAATACTACTATACATGGTAATCACAGATAGATCAAGTTCATATTTGAAAGGTATATTACGTAAAGATTAATCTATGTTGTTCATGTGTGTATGTTCTCACAATCTTCCTAGTCTAGTGTATTCTGATGTAGTAGCGTCTGTTTAATGTGGTCCGCTCTAACTCTGCCCACACTATGTTCAGTGATGTGCAGCTCTGCAACATCATCACAAGGTTGCTCCAGGGTCCTGAAGCCCTTTGAAATAACTGCACAGAGGCCCACTTCATCAAGTCACCCTTTATCTACTGGTGCACAGTACCCTGGCTATGACCAGCCAACTCGAAGTCAGTCCCCCTGGAATGAGGAGATTCTAATCCCCTGGTTATATTGGTCAACCAGGGCTTTTCTGATTTGCCCAGGTTAACAACCCCAATCAAGGATCTCATAGTCAACAAGATCCAGCTGGTTCCAGTCGCAACACTTACACTTGTATTTCCCTGCTCAGCCACACGTGTTAAAATTGTGACATTATCTGGTAATCTCTGTCCACACTGTGCTGTTCAAAGCTTCAATCCATGCAGGGTATCGACTTTCCATGTCCATGCTACAACAATGGCCACACTTTGTTAGCTGTGAACCACTTTGGGACATAATAAAAACATTAAAAACACTAAATAAATGCATGAGAGAACAAGGTGCAGGGCTGGATGAACACAGCAGGCCAAGCAGCACTCCTACTATCTCTGAAATAAATGCATGGTTTTTTTTGCCTCTGGCAGGAAGGGTGTGAAAACAAAGTGATAAACAAGGTTTCATGCTCCTTCCATCAGCCAGTCTCAGAGTAATGTTGTCAAATACTCCAGACTTTAGATTTACAACCTTTGTCTATCTGTTGTAGCTCTGGGACAGGTCAGATCTTTGGGTAAAGGAAGGCTGAGGTTATGGATTTTTGCACTTGTTCTTTGCTGCGGCAACATGAACATCTTAATAACAGACGAAGCAAAACAACACACACACATTAACGATTTGTTTAAATCACTGCATTGTTGGATCATTACTCGAATTTATCTGATGAATTCTCAGGGTGAGAAACAGATGTTATAAACATCTAATGGTTTCAGTACTCAACAAGGAATACCTGAGCAAATATCTGTGTTGATTTCTTTATTAGCTGCTTGCACTGACATCAACATTAATCTATCATTGAGTGAGCAGATACCATTTACCAGAAACACATTACTGAAGATAGGCAATGATGTTTTCCCAGATACTGTGCTCAATAAATCATCACCAATCTGTTCATTATACCTTAGCAACTGATCTCTTGAGTCCACTAATTAAAATAACAAATTAGAGCTGCCAACTCCCATACTTTTTCTTTGTACATACTTTACAAAGTACACCATCTTTTTTTTTCTATCATTACCTTCTTTGTCAACTCCCTTCTTCTCAAAGTAGGAACAGAAGCGGTCAAGGACAGTGGCATCATTGGATCCTTGAACTAACGCCGCTTCATCCAGAATCCAGAGAAGACCTTTGGGTTCCTCATCCCGTGTAGATGGCTGAACCTTGAACTGAAAGATAAAGCACTAAATGTGAGGGTCAGCAGAGAAACTAATTGCATTTGCCATTTGATTTTCATATAGCACACCTGCATGGAGCAAAAGGAAGATATCAAAAAGCTGAATGTGGATCTGTGAGATAACTTTGCCCTCCACTGAGTATCTGTTTGACAGAGCAGTGTGTTTAACTGCTTCTGAGGTGTTCCTTGGAAGTAATATTGAATGCTGAGCATGTTCAGCTGTTTGAATTCTGGGACTTAAGTCTGCATTCAGCTTATATTGAAGTCCTATCTTTCTGCCAGTTAAAAAGGAACAATAAGAGTCTGTGACTGAATTTTAAATGAACAACTGTCAGGGATGTAAGAGTGACAGAGAAAAGCACTAAAAATTAGCTCAAAAATGGAAGGTTTGCATGGGTCACACACATATTACACGCACATTTCAGAAGATGAACCTAAGGTGTGTAGGAGATCGCCTTTCACTCAGGGGCCTGTAAGAACCGCAAATATTTAATTTGAAAATAAAAACTTGGAAATTGGAAGATTGGATACTGCTGTGTTGCAGAGAACATATGACTTTTTTTTAATGGCTTGAAGCAAGAATGGAACTGTGTGGAGTTTGTCTATTGGTTACACAAGAGTGGTAAAGGCATGCAGCATGGAGGCAGGCACTTCAGTCCAACTCATCCATATCAACCAGATAGCTCAATCTGACCTAGTCCAGCATTTGGCCCATGTCACTCTAAACCCTTCCTATTCATATTCCCATTCAAATGTCTTTTAAATGTTGTAATTGTACCAGCTTCCATCACTTCCTCTGGCAGATTGTTCCACATAAGCGTCACCGTCTGTGTAAGAAAGGTACCCCTCAGGTCCTTTTTAAATCTTACTCCTCTCACCTTCAACCTATGCCCTTTAATTTTGGAATTCCCCTATCCTGGGAGAAAGACCTTGGCTATTCACCCTATCCATGCCCCTCGTGATTTTGTAAACCTCTATAAGGTCACCCCTCAGCCTCTGAACCTCCAGGGAAAATAGCCCCAGCCTGTTCAGCATCTAGCTCAAACCCTCCAACCCTGACAACATCCTTGTAAATCTTTTCTGCTTCCTTTTCAGTTTAACAACACAAGGGTCATGTAACTTTTGGAGAAGCTGGATTTGATATTTTTCTGAGACAAGTTGGCACAAGGTGCCTTTGTGTTGAAAATAAAACTGCCCAGCAAACAGCTTTTGGAATTGTTTTAAGATGTAGTTTGTTGCAGTCGCACAATCTTTTATCTAAACTGGGAGCACTTTATGCTGACACGGATTGTAGTCACTGGAACGAGGGCCAGGTTGATCCCATTGACTCTGAGATCCTTGATTGGGGCTGTTGACCTGGGCCAATCAGGGAGCCCCGGCTGACAGATATTAGCAGGAGATTCAGAGAGTCTCATCATTCAAGGGACTTGCTCTGAGCTGGCTGGCCAGAGTCCATATACTGCCCAAATGTAAATAAAGGGTGGCTTGGTGATGGGACCCCAGCCTCTGTGCAGTTATTTCACTAATAGTATAAAACATATTCCATTCTTCAGCATAGCCACTCCACACCCTGATGGTTACAAATGTCCCCTCCCTCCGATTACTCTCCAAAATAAACACATGACACTATTCGGCAGGTGTGAAGTGAGAGCATGTTACATAGGCGCCTGTTTGCATATTTTTGAAATCCCGTTGAATATTAACTTCAGCTGTCAACTAACAAGTTCAACAATTCATATGCAGTTAGTTTTGGTCTAAACCATGGACGTGTCTGGCTGCATGCTCTTAAAATCTCTTGAATGTGGCCTGGTTTACCAGTAATAGAAAGGAACTCCTTCTCAAGGGTAACTAGGGTTGAGTAATACATGCTGGTCACATCCCGTGAGTGAATAAAAACAAAACTAAATATATATTCATCCCCACCTATTACTCTAATTTGAGCAGGACTGAGCAAAATATAAGAAGACATTAATAAATGTGTAGAATGGAGTGTAATTAGGAATTTTTTTTTGGCTATTCACCCTATCCATGCCCTTCATGATTTTATAAAGCTCTATAAGGTCACCCCTCAGCCTCCGATGCTCCAGGGAAAATAGCCCCAGCCTATCCAGCCTTTCCCTATAGCTCAAACCCTCCAATCCTGGCAACATCCTTGTAAATCTTCCCTGCACCCTTTCCAGTTTAACCATTAAAAAAATGTAATTAGGAAATTAACCTCAATATTAATAAGTTTAAGAAATAAATGTTGGTAGGAAGCATAAAAAGTCACATGCTCCTTTAAAAACAAGTATTTAGGTGGGAAACAGACACAGAGAGACATGGAAAAATATTCTTAAATCACTAATGGCACAGATAAACAGCATATTTGAAATAGCAAAGATTCACTGGTGGTCATTTCTAGAGGGCCAGCACTGGAAAGCAGAGAAGCCATATTTAACTTGTATGGAACCTTTGGAGTTGGGTTTCTCAACAATAAAAAAGTCAAAAATTTAAAGATGCATTTTTTGATTTTTATGACTTTACCAAAATTAAGTTTCCCCAGCACTTTCTGTTTGCGTTTCAGGGAAAATGATGTCTGCCAGGGGCCTGATTTTGAAGCTTGCAGCTCATACAATGTTATAGTGGAAAATGCACCAATATTTCATCAAAGGTGTTCAAATATCAGACCAACTGTCATGTTAAACCTGATAACGAAAGGTGGAGTAGGATAAAACATTTTAGCTGAAAGTGATTAACCGGCTCACAGTGACAGGGTCATGACAGGTTGTGAATTACCTTTAATTTGCCTTAGAATTTGTTGCCATTTGAGTGACAAATGTTTCCAACGAGATGTAAAATGTTATCCGTTTTAGGAACCTGGTGTTACATCAATCACTCACAGACAGGTTAGGCTGCAGAGGCTGAGAGCATTGATTGAGACCTATGGCGTCATGACAGGCTCAGATAAGGGAGGGAAAATAAAGTTTCCTCGGTTAGCTGAAAGTACAAGGACTGAAGAATGCTAATTGAAGGCATTGGGCAAGAAACACAGGGGATATGGGGGTGGAAGGAATATTTTTATACAGCGAGTAGCAATAACCTGGAACTCGGTGCCAATGGAGAAGGTGGAAGCAGAGACAGTCAATGATTTCAGAAGGATATTGAATGAGAACCTGAGGGGGATAAACTTACAAGAGCTTCAGATAGAGAAAGTGAATGGGACTGACTGAATGTTCAACAGGGAATGAGGCTGGACTCCATGGGCTGAAGAGTCTACTTTTGCAGCGTAAAGAATCTATGACTATAAATATCTATAACAGGTTAAATACAGGTCAGTTGCTCCTTCAGCATCTATAGGCAATAACACCCAACTCATAAGAGACTAGGTAGGCCCCTCCTTGCAATTCCATTTTGATTCAGCCCCCTCCCTCTCACTCTAAATCTCCCTCATCTTTGATGCCCTTAATGGGTTTTGCATGTAAACAATTCAATTGAAAACACAAGTGATTTACTGGGGCTGGTTAACAGATGAAAATAATGCCATGGATGACTTGGTGATGGGGAAAAGATGTTCCATTGTGTGTAAGAGTACTTCTGGGTATAAAAAGAAAGGGTCTTGAGAAGCTAGGGATGTTTTCCTTAGAGAATAGAAAGCTGAGGGTGGAGGGGGTGGGGTGATATTAGGGGGGTGTGGTGGGGGGGTAGGACCTGATTGAAGTCTACAAAATGATGATGGGCATAGATATAGGAAGAAACCCCTGGTAGACAAACACAGAGGCTGGCAGAACCAGCCAAGCCAAGCAGCATCTGGAGGAAAGAAGTCAAGGTTTTGATTATTACCCTTCTTCTTCCCCTTAGTAGCAGGCAGAGTTGTAAGGTAATGGGCAGGAGCTTTAGAAGAGTGGGATGCAGTTGAGAAAATTTTTTTCCACCCAGAGGCTGGTGGTTATCTCAAACTCACTGCTTAAAAAGGGTGAAAGAGGTGGAAATGCCCAAGATATCGAAGAACTATTCAAATGAGCACTTGAAACGCCATAGCATACCGGACTACGGGCCAAGTGCTGGAAAATGGGATGGGGGCTCAGTGGCCAGCATAGATACTATGGGCCAAAGGGCCTTTTACAGGGCTGTAAAAGTCGTGATAGTCCTACTGGACCATAGGCCTGCTCTCTCATTAGACAGAGACAGCTGCTGATGGTTTATCCTGAGGGTCACCATGCCTCAAATGAGGGGAGAGATTGAGAAGGAGAGGCCTTCATGGTAACCTCAGCCGGTGCAAAAATTGGACCCACACTATTGGTGTCACTGCATCACAAACCAATCCAGCCAACTGTGCGAACCAACTGCCTTTTTGTGCTGTAAAAACCGTCTGAACTCCCATATGCAACAAAGTGAGAACTTTCATATCAACTATTTGCCTACCTAAGTGGGAAAGACAATTTAGGGGCAAACGCTGAGCAGTGTTGTGCCATGAACTGCCCATACTACTCTCACACCGAATTCAGCTAATGGCTTCAAACAAAGGATCCTGGGTGAAAAGCTCTCCTCTGACCTCCAATTCCACGGGCTGATTTATGATGAACACGTATCGTTGTGAAGTTATAAAAATATTGCTGCAGTCACCGTACTGAAAGTCTGAGCTGAATATTTCAAGTTCTGTCAATGCTGCTCTGACAGTAATGTGATCACAATGCGAGTCCCAGTGTTAAGAGCATAGGAGCTGACTGTGTGAGAGTGGGTGGATGGAAGTGTAGGATGTGGTTTGTAAACAGTTTAATTGAAAGTCAAAATGTTGATGGCTCACTCAACAAGCCAGACTTTGTGTTTAAAAATAAACAAGGTTTGCTAGAAAACATCCAATTCTCTTTTGGCAAATCTGATTTTCCACTCAATTCCCTTTGTCCTCCTGGACCTCAGGAGAGAAAGCACAACTTGTTCAAGGACTAATCAATCTGAGGAACAGTGTTACTGAAAATGATCAGGAATGAAGAAACAGCCAATGGTTCCAGGGAC